GCGCTGTGCTGATAATTTATTACATCGTTACGTATGATAACAGGCAGTGGGGCTTAGTAGCATTTTCAAGTCCTGTGTTTCACTTCATTGTTTACTCTTTAGGCCTGATACAATTCAGTGTAAAAGTAGTATCCTCGGTTATTTTTCACTACATTCCACTTCACTAATGGGCAAAGCAGAAATAACATACGTTTCTAGGAGTTAATTCAGCTTCAAGATGAATCTCTTGCTCTTTGGCAGAAAACTGCTTCAGTTAATTTACAGATCTCTACAAACCTTTCTAATAAACCAGCGGGGTGGGGGAGGAAGGGACGGAAGGGTTGGTTGTTTCAGTTGGTTGGTTGGTTGAGGGTGGAGGAGTGTTGGCTTTCTTTGTGTTTTTTTAAGAGCAAAAGAAACGTCCTCCTGAGTGGTCTGTCTAGCCCAATAGTCTATTTCCTAAAGTGGCAGTAGGAAATGCCCGTGAGTTTGGCCACTGCCTGCTCTCCCTCCTCCACTGCAGTCATTGAATCGGGGATGTTTGAGAATCCCTGCCTGTTTGCTTTTTTGTGTCCATTTATGGACCTGTTGGACATGAGTATGTCTAATCCCTCTTTTACACTGCTGACACTTTCCACTTCCATGACCTCCTGTGGCAACAGGCTCCAGAAGTTATGTGAGAGAGAAAGAAAGTACAACCTTCTATTTAAATATCTTTTTTTATTAAAGGGTAATCTTGTTGGTTTCAGCCTGTTGTCTTAGTAATTGTGGGATTTGATAAATTACAATTCTGCCTTGACCATTTGTTGCATACCATGACCACTTAAGTGAGATGTGTAATCACATGCAGATGGAGAATCCCTTCAAGTGCCAATTGTAATTGTTTCAAGAGATTTGGACTAATCATAGGCTTTAGAATGTTTTCTTGGCCATGCTTTGTTTATTGATGTTTATGTTGTTAAGCTTTTTTACTTTGAAAGAGAAAGTTTGGCGGGTTTTAAAATTTTGGGAAAAGGATTGATTCATCTTTATAATGACATCTTGTGGACTAATTACAGTACACTTGAAGACATGAATGTGAAATGTGGTAATTGTCTAAATGTTCATGTGTATGTTAAATATAGTGTGTGTGCCCAAGATTTACGCTGCACTAACTCTGGAACCCAGGTAAACAATACTTGGCTTAAGCTAATTTCTGCTACAAAAGGGAAGTCAGTATTAGTTTTGTCACGTCATCTACGCTGATATTGGTCAACTCAATGTGTTCACATCTTGTGTATTTCAAACTGAATGTTTTTTCTTTATTTTTCCTTCCTATTATCAGCTATTTCCTCGAAGATGTACGTGGTTATACGTCATGAACAATTGCTTGTTATCAGTATCTGGTAAGTTACGGTGCTGTCTTTGGCTGGTAGTGCTAGTAAACATTTAGCTTCGTATTTGAAATCATAGAATTATAGAATGGTCTGTTTTTTGTTTTTTAATTTCCAGGTAAAGCTTCTCAGCTTTATTCCCATAATCTGCCAGGACTCTTTGATTATGCAAGGCAAATGCAAAAATTACCTGTTGCTATTCCGGCACATAAACTTCCTGACCGAATACTTCCCAGGTAAATATGCATCATCAGATATATGAGAATATCTTAATTCTGGGAGTCCGGGATATGCCTGTGAAATTCTGGAAATAACCAAATAGTGTAGAGCTCTGTTCCGTTTGCCACAAATAACCACAAAAATATGGGCATTAGTCATAGGGTAGACCCCTACATTTACACAAATCAAGATGGGAATATACTCTTATTAATGAAATGGGGTTTGGTACTACATAAATCCTTGTCATGAAGCCTCTTGTTTCTGGACATAGGTCTCTTCAGGTATAGTCCGGTACAATAAATCCTGGTTGTACTTGATGCTAAACAAAACCTAGGGTCAGTGTTGTGTACCTACGGTATTTCAAGCAAGTAGAAATTGTGATCTTACGCTGGGCACTTGTCTTTCCAAGGCGGGTGGGCAGGATGTGTATTCCCTACTGCAGAGGGAATAGGCTCATGGGTTATTTTGAAAGCTGGGAAGAGTAGAGCTGGAGTAGAGATGTGACATTCGTCACTGGCTCGTCATTTTTCACAGGTCTGTGTAGAAGGGACTTTTGTCCCCAGATGCCTACAGCACATTGTGCTTGCAGTCCCTTCAATTTTGTTTAGTAGCAAGTGCATATAAAATCCCAGAAACTGGGTGTACTGCTGGCTGCCAAACAAGATTTAGGAGCCTGTTCAGATCAAAGAGGAGGAGGTAGTAACACTAATCTAGTTTGCAGAGAAACCTTCGATTCTTAGAGTCCACAGTGAATCATTCATTCTTTTTCTGGTAGGAAATTGTTTTACAGAAGACCTGACTTTCTGCTACCTTTGGTTCTATTAACAGCCTATTAACATTTAATTCTTGGTTTCAGGAAAGGCTTCTTGTTCAGTCATCTGTAAACATAATGATGCAACACTTGTCTGAAAACTGTGCTCTTCCTAGAGGCTAAATTCTAATTACCTGAGACGTAATTTGTGCTTTGAATTGTTGTCTTCTGTGTGCCTGCACCAGTGTTCTGCTCCTCTCTCTTCGAATCTAACTTTGGTAGAGAGACTTTGGCTTGAGAACTGCATCAGCAGTGGACTAATAACCATAACTGGCAAAAGGAACATGTGAGGAAGACCTTCAGACTGTGTTCAGCCTGGAATGGCACTTTACCTAAATTCCAGCAGGCTGAAAACTTCTTGTGCAGCCGTGCCACTTCCCAAGAAAGATGCAGCACAACCTGAATGTGCAAATACCAAGCCAGTCATTCAAAGGCAGGAGGGATTCATTTAGAAAATCCGTTTTGCTGTTTTGTCCCTTGCTGTAAGGCATCAGGGTAGTAACATTTAGGCAGGTGGAAGTAGTACATTTGAAGTATGTGGAAGAGTATAATTCTTTTTCTTACCAAACTACAAAGCGTATTCTTCAGCAAGTTCCTGGATACCATGATGATGCGTGCTACATGAAAAATGTAGATGTGTTAAAAGCAAACGTTTTGGTAGAGAATATGCAAAGCAAAATAGAATTGAGAGTAATTTGTGAGGTTTATATATTCATCTGCAAAATGGTCTAAGCTCCATTTATGATACTTGGTAGATAAACATTCAGTAGCAGAAAATATCTGTGGTAAGTCTCCTTTCCAGCTTCTTTCAGTTGAGTGACCTTGAGTAGTTTCTTTCAAAACTTCCATGATTTTTTTCCAACCAAAATTTACGGCCAGTACTCAGTTTTCATGCGGCTTAGTCCTGCTGCATTATCAGGTCACTTCTGGACAGCTTCATTTGAAATGCTATGCAAGTATTTTCCTTGTTCGTATCTCTGACTGCAGCATCTATCTTATCACTCCACTTATTCCCATCTTTTCTACAGCATCAAATTAGTGGTTTTGCTGTCAAGGCGACTGTGTCCAATCTCCATACTTTCTGTTGTCTTCTAGTCTGTATAGAAACACCTATTCCCCCTATCAATAGATAACATCATCTTCCCTGGCTTATCTGATGAATTTTCAAGTAATTGTTCTTGTGATTTCTCACGGAGCGTCCCCTGCGTATGAGAAAAGATCTTGCAAAGCTGCCTTTCACACCTCTTCTTGAAGCACATGCTGTGCTGCCTGTTGCAAAATCTCGGCTGTTAGTTTTCAAGGGCTGTGGCCCAGCAAGCTATCCAGTATGGCATTGTTTCCCACACCCCTTGGGTCCATGTGTCCTGTTTTCAAACTGTAATATCATTGGGTCAAGAATGGACTTTGTTTGCTGTCTAGTATCCAGCACAAGATGCAGTAAGTTACAGCATTACAAAGAAGAATGATTGTGGGACTACCAATAAAAATAGCAAGGGATTGTGGTAAATGATGCTTTAAGGTACCGATGGACCTATTCCTTTCCATTCTTGAATTTAATTGCCTTCATAATGCTTCATAACCGAGCAGCATCTCAGTGCTAACGGAAGGATCACCATGTATGTTCTAGGCGTATAATTTTGATAAATATACAAATAAATACATTTTTAGGTTGGGGCGGGGGGAGAGGGGCAAATAAAATTTTCCCACCACCAACTCTCTAAAAAGCAAATTTATTCAATTGTTTTGATTGATGAATAATTCTGTGTTTGTATCTTGTAGGAAGTTCGCAGTGTCTACAAAAATTCCTGACACTAAATGCTGTCAAAAGTGTTGTGTTGGTAAGTGAAGATCTGCAGAATAGTTGCCAAGAAACACTACAAGTGGTGGCAGGATTAAGATTACACGGAGAAGAGACTTTTGTCATTATTATGCAACTGTACATTTGCAGACAGTGAGCTTGTTCATGTTAGTCCTTGGCTTTAAGCAGTAAAAACTTTCCCGTTTCACTTTTCTTGTTTAAAGACAATTCTCAAGAAATGCGGAGAAGCAGAATGCGTGTCAAATTTAAACCAGCCCTCAGGGAGAAACTGATATCAGTGGATGGAGTGTTATCACCAGGCTTAAGCAGCCTGACTTCCTGGCACAACTTTCGGTTATCAGTATTGGGTGATAAAACACAAGGCGTATTTTCAGTTCTCTGAGGACAGTGTTGTCTCTGAAGCCCTTACAGTGTGTCCAGAGTGACAGCTACCAAAGCCTCAAAGCTGCACTGTGTTAAAACATGTTTTGAAATGGGGGTGGGGGCAGATAGATTTAAATAAAAACCAACCAAACACCAAAAAAGAAAAACCCAAACAAACAAAAAAACCCCAAAACCCAAACCAACAAACCACAATCAACCAACAAAAAAACAAACAAGCGCAAACCCCCAAAAACAAACAAACAAAAACCAAACCCAAACCACAAAACCCCCCCACCAACCCAAAAAAACCCCACACAAACAGGAAAGGCAACTATGGATGATCTCCTGGGGTTCAGCTCTCATCCCTGGGAATATTTCACCCGCTGTTTGGTGTGGGGAGTTACATTATACAGGGGTTTTCAGAGACTCAATAGTAAGCAAGCATCTGTCATTTAGCCTGACAAAAATCTCCCTGACATTTCTAAAAAATCTGATGTTTGTTCTCACTTCACTGCCCAGCCAACTGTTATAAAACTTGACTTGTTTTGGGATACAAATTCTCTGGAGTGTTGTAGGGTGTCAATGATACGTACTGTGTACGTCCAGGCCTTGACCTAAGTGAAGCTCTAAGTGTCAGTGGCTGCTGAGGGGAACATCCGGAGGTGTGGAGTGACAGGGATCAGAGTAGGTACAACGCTGGTTTTCTGACAGGAAAATTAATTGGGGCGTCCATATGTTTTCGGGTTTCTGTTCATGAAATGAGAAACCTGGTGGCGTGCTCTTCTGTAATCTTACAGTTTCTGTACTTAGAGGCACGGAATTTAACAAGAATGCTGTGGGACTCGGCAAAAAAAAATGTTGTCCTGGCATTCGGAGATAGCTTAGCCTAGTAAACCTGGAGTCATACTTGCACGACAGGCGTTAAGTGATAATTTGTGATGGCAACAAGGGCAGCTACAAAGGGGAGAAATGATAGATTCCCCTCTCCTGCCTTTCTGACTACGTGCAGCCTAAGCCTCCATTCCGGCTGGCAACGTTAGTACCCCTTTGGCCTGGGGGAAGTAGCAGTGCCACAGGAGATGAGAACTCGTGGTCTCGTTTCTCCACCTTGCAGGCCTTGGTAATGGCATGTTTTGTGGTTTCTGCTGCCGAGTTCAGCCGTACTAAGGGTCGTACCAAGCCTCACTTGCTGCCGTTCGCAGTTGGTTTGACTAACGCCAAGTGCGAGCTTGGAGTAATGCAATCAAGCTTTGATGTTTAAGGTGCCAAGGGATTGCCAGTGGATTTACTTGGCGGGAAGGTGGCATGAGTGCATTTCACTTGTGTGGGTAGAATGGGGTTGTAGAAGCTTGTTACCTGAACTTGTGTGGTTAGTTGCCTGCTGGCCCACAGACACTTTACTGCAGTTCACACCTGGTCTTTAGATGTAATTGCACAAAGTAACACTTGTCCATCTTCATGGATAGGCTGCCAGCGCTTAAGAGTGAAATTCTGTCAATACTGCAGAATTACAGCTGTGAAACCGATTTCACAGTGCCCAATTTTGCAACTTTATTATTCTCTTCCAGTTTTTAGTTGAGTTGTGTCAAACACTAGAAGAACGACGATTGAGTGGAAGCAGATGATGTCACTTAAAAAAAAAAAATCAATTTCCTGCTAATCTAGAAGTGCTCATCAGAAATACAGAGCTCCTGAATTTCAGGCTTGCTGTGACAGTGCTTGGAAAGCAACTCTCAGGTGGCAGTGATTGTTCAGTGCCTGCTGGGTAACTGCGTCACAGAAAAAGCCATCATTTAACAGCTTCTCATGATAATTTGGAGATAGTTTAGACAACATGGTGGAGCAAGACACTTCAAATGTGTATGCAGTCAACTATTATTTTTTTTAAGACTGCCTAAGGTAGTAAATCTCATCTACCAGTCTGGAAAAAAAACCCAAAAACCAGCAGTAAACTTCGTTTCGAGTTGGAGACGTGAGACACACCACAGCACTGTTGTCAGCGTGGCGTATGGCTTATTTGGCACCAGCTGCTAGCTGTTCGTGCCTGGTGGAAGGGTAGCCCCTGCTCCAGCATGCCCCCTGTCAGTATTTTCACAGTGTGGATGTTGGCTTGCCAACAGCTCCCTTATATGTAAAGATCAGAGTGGTGGTAGTGGGTGTTTTCCAAGAATGTGCACGGGTTTATTTAGTTGGAAATTGTTGATAATTTTATTTGCTTGGTACGCTAATGTATTCTACCTCTTCTTTTTCGGCAGTGAGGAATCCCTGCACGGGCCACAAGTACCTCTGTGGAGCACTACAGTCTAGCATTGTTTTGTTAGAATGGGTTGAACCAATGCAAAAATTTATGTTAATCAAGGTAATATGATGATAAGGTGAAATACTCTCATTCTCAGTTCTATTTGTCATGACTTGTTAAGAATAAGTATTAGCAATCTCTTGACTTATAAGACTTTTCTTTTGGTTTCTCTTGACTTACATTGAAAATAGCTATTTGTATGTATAATATGTATTAACTGTCTCAAAATATTTATAGGAATGTTTTTTTTTGTGGAGCACTTCAGTTAAAGAGCAAAGCCCATCACTTTATGAACGTTGCCTTTTAGTTGCACAGTAAAAGAACTCTGGCTGATAGACTGAGACATGGCAGAGTGGAGTGATAACGTGCGAGGAGTGGGCTTGTTCCCATTCCAGAGAGAAGGTGGCCACTTACTCTATGTTTTGTGACACTAGAGGGGCCCAGAATTGCCAGTTATCTCACCACCTGAAGAGGTGGAGCCAAGGTGGAGTCATGTTTGTAGAGAGGCAACAGCTATGACTTGGTCGGCCTGGGCAACGAGGCTGAGAGACTCCATAGCTGGGAGAGCAGTGGTGGGCATTGCCCACTCTTGTCATCTCTGGACAGCTGCACAGGACACGTGATGAAAGACATCCTGTCTTATTTTTAAATGAATTGGCATGAGGAGTCTCTAAGCTTCTTAACCCAGGCTTTTTGTATTTATCATTTACTGTTATCTAAAGGAGTGAACAGTGTTACAAAACGTATGGCATAAAATTTACCGTACAGTTTAAATAGCTGATAGCAACTCAGACTAAACTTGTTTCCCTTCTAATATCTATTTTTTGTTTCTTAATCTAGCACATAGATTTTCCTGTACCTTGTCCACTGAGATTGTTTGAAATGCTGGTAGTCCCTGAGCAGGAATTCCCTTTAGTTTGTGTTGGTGTCAGTAGAGGAAGAGACTTCAACCAGGTGGTGAAGTTTGAGACTGTCAACCCAAATTCTACCTCTTCATGGTTTACAGAAACAGGTTTGTGTGCTGCTGTAATTGCATTCAGAGATTTTCCTTGATTTTCTGTTATAGCTGGAGCACTAGAAAGGTAATTTCCTTTGAGGAAGCTAATGGTTAAATCATGGAGGCTGAGTGGTCGTTGTAAATTCTCTGTTTAAAGGGGTGTCTGGTTGTACCTGCTTTTACATGCACCTTTTTTTGATGCTTCTACTTGTTGAACTGCTTGGGTTTCTTGAGGTTTTTGAGAATAGCAGAGGATGGAGTTGTGGTTTCTTGCATTTCTATAAATCAGGCTTTACTTTACCATTACCCATTGTGACGTTCTGAGCATGACTTCTGTATTTTTAATAGATTTTGGCAGAATCACAGTCTGAGCAATTTCTTTCAATGTCTCTGTAAGTGTGGGTTGGCTCTTGTGCAGTACCCAGTGTGGTCAGAAACGGTGTGATCAGCCTCCTGCTGAGAGCAGATTTCTGTTGTTCTAGTATTTATGGAAAGGGAAAAGGATTAGGACCGCTGGTAGTGGGAGACCACGTATGTCTCTCTCACTGGTCTGCATGCTGTGAGTGAGGAGGCCACCATCTGAGCAACAGTAAAAATTCTCTGAAGAAGAAAGTGTGGACCCCAGTCATGGCTTGCAAGCTTTAGAAGCAGTAAATTGCTTTGTTATTACCAGGCACAGAGCCCTTGTTGATCCGTGATGAATTTTCACATAGCCCTGTGCTGGAATATAAACGTGTATGAGTCTGGCTGGTGTGTACTGTGTAATTCACCAAGGAGTACAGTTTCCACCAGGAAGGTGCCTGCTGACTTTCTTGCTGCTGAAAAGTGTGTCAGGTTTTGAAAGAGTTTAACGCATAGTTACAGAACTCAGCGATCAGCAGATGGCCCATGAATGCACGTAACTACCTCAAAGTCAGTGCATTTTGTTTTCAGACTCACACATCTGTTTGTGTCACTGTGTGACTTTGGTAGAGTCCATGCAAGTAGCATGTCGAAGAGAAATTCTTTGACCCATAATGTCCCGTTCTCATTCTTCTCTCAGTATTGTCTGCATCAGTGTCTAAATGCAAGAATCGTAATTCCTTCCTGGTTCCTTCTTTTTTATGCAGAAAGTTTAACATTGCTTCTTTAGCAAATACTTCTTCAGCTTCCTTGGATCATTTGCATGTTCTTGTTGTGCCTATGTTGTTATTTTCTCCTGTTTGTTAGACTCTAATTTAAACCCTCATGTTGTATTGGTTTATGCCTGTCCCCTGCTGGCAGGGGAGCGATAATGCAACGAAACAGATTTTTCAGTGTTTTTAAATGAGAAAAGTGGGCACCATATGGTCAGAAATAGCTTCCATCAAATAGTAGTTTTGATTGGTTGACATTTGACCTTTTTTTGTAAATGTCTGATGGAACTGTTTTTTAAGAAATTAGCTGGCAGAGACTTAGTGCAGGGGTTTTCTTCCCTTGCCATCCTTCCTTCTGTTACTGGTTTGGGTTGGAAGGGACCTTAATGTTGGCTTCAGCCAGTGCCGTCCATGTTTCCACAGCACATAATGTGGCTGCACAGATTTGAACTCTCCCGTTCGCCCGTTGCATGCTTTCATCGTGGCTATGTCCACCTTTGGCTAAGAGCAGGCATTAGGGGTTGGTTAAGGTCATGGAATCACAGACTGGTTTGGGTTGGAAGGGACCTTAAAGACCATCTAGTTCCAACCCCCCTGCCATGGGCAGGGACACCTTCCACTAGACCAGGTTGCTCCAAGCCTCATCCAGCCTGGCCTTGGACACTTCCAGGGATGGGGCATCCACAGCTTCTCTGGGCAACCTGTCCCAGTGCCTCACCACCCTCTCCGGGAAGAACTTCTTCCTGAGATCCAATCTAAACCTCCCCACTTTCAATTTAACCCCGTTACCCCTTGTCCTGTCACTACAGGCCCTTGTAAAAAGTCCCCCCCAGCTTCCTTGTAGCCCCTTCAGGTACTGGAAGGTGCTATAAGGTCTCCCCGGAGCCTTCTCTTCTCCAGGCTAAACAAGCCCAACTCTCTCAGCCTGTCCCCATGGCAGAGGGGCTCCAGCCCTCGGAGCATCTTTGTGGCCTCCTCTGGACTCATAAATGTATACCTTCCAAGATAAACAGCAAAAAACAGATGGAGGGAACATCTCAAGGAGCACATTTCTGCCATCATCCTTGGGGAGATTTTTGCTTCTGAACAGGACCACGGATTTTATTATTTAACTGAAAGCTGCTTTTGTATTTTAGGTAACATGCTCTAACTTCTCATATCTAACAGATGTAATGGTTTTCTCTTTTCTGTATGGAAGAATGCCTACAGAATCGCTGGCAGTAATGTTGAATTAGTAAGAGTTTCTTTTTGTGTAATTTTAATGTTAAACAAATGGACCAAAACTACACTTCTCTTTTGAGTTGATGTGTCCACTAATCACTTGTGGGTCAGATCCTCCTGTTTGCTGTGACGGAGACTGCTGCAGCTGGATCCCAGAAGAGAGGAAAGTAACCCTTTTTTCAAGGGTTTGGAGAAGGAAATAATCCCATATTTTTGAAAGAACTGGTGATGGAAAGTCTGAAATTAGCAGCAAGTGTTAAGTCCTAATACAAAAGTCCCTAGCAAGGTTTAGGAATAAAGGCAGAAAAAAAATGGAGTGAAGGAGCATTCAGGTTCAGTGTGGACAGTCTCCTACATCTGCCTTTTTTGCAACAGAAATATTAAACAACACTGAGAATAAAGGGAGAACAATGTACACATGAGTTTGCTTTTGTGATATGGCTCAGAAAAGGCTGGATTAAGTCCATACTTTAATATTACAGCTTCAGTTTTCCTGTCACAGTCAACATATTGGATAAGTGGACATGACTCTCTAAGAGAAGAGAAATGTCACTGGTAAGATGATTGTTTTAAGTAGATAAAAACACACTAACCCCTTAAATTGTCTCAGTCAGTACAACTTCCATTTCAGATTTCATGCTAATTTACGTTGTGAACTAACACTGTCATTTTTTTATAGACACTACAGAGACAAGTGTTGTCCATGTAACACAGCTGGAGAGAGATACCATTTTGGTGTGTTTGGATTGTAAGTTTTAGTGTCAACTAAATACATACGTATGCACGTACTTGCATACTGTCTGTCTTCAAATTAGGTGATACGTTGAAGATTAATTCTTGGTTCATATATGCTATTTATTGTCTAGGCTGCATAAAAATAGTGAATCTGCAAGGCAGGTTAAAGTCCAGCCGCAAACTGTCATCGGAACTCACGTTTGACTTTCAGATTGAATCAATAGGTAAGTTGGATTTCTTTATTAATATTGAATATCTGGGTAGACCAGAGGGGTGGGCAGTCACCAACCGTGTGAAATCTAACAGGGGCAAGTGCTGCACTCTGCGCCTGGGATGAGGTAATCCTGGTTATACACACGAGCGGGGGGATGAGGCGCTGGAGAGCAGCCCCGTGGAACGAGATGAGGGGATGTGTGTTGTTGGCAGGCTGAATACGAGTCAGCAGCGTGCGCTGGCAGCCAGAAGGGCCAGCTGTGTCCTGGGGGTGCTTCAAGTACAGCATAGCTAGCCAGTCGAGGATAGTGATTGTCCCACGCCGCGCTGCAGCGGGGCGACCTCACCCCGTGCTGTGTGCAGTTTTGGGCACCTCGGTCACCGTGAAGGACATCAGACTCTTGGAGGTGTCCAGAGGAGGGCAGCCAAGATGGTGCAAGATCTCAGGGCAAGACTTAGGAGGAGTGGCTGCAGTCACTTGGTTTGCTCAGCTTGGAGAAGAGAAGGCTGAGGGGTGACCTTGTCACAATCTACAACTTCCTCAAGGGAGTATAGGGGAGGGGGGCTGCTGATCTCCTCTCTGGTGACCAGTGATAGGAGATAAGGAAATGGTATGAAACCGAGTCATGGGAGGTTCAGATGGGACATTAGGAGAAGGTTCTTCAATCAAAAGGTTGCTCAATCACTGGAACAGGCTCCCCAGAGCAGTGATCATGGCACTGAGCCTGTCAGAGTTCAGGGAGCATCTGGATGATGCTCTTAGTCAGGTGGTTTAGTTTTAGGTCATCCTGCAGAGCGCAGGGAGTTGGACTCAATCATCCTTATGGCTCCCTTATAACTCAGCATTCCATGATTAACTGGTTTGCTGTTAGAATACAGAATTGGAGATGCTAACTGTCAAGTCTTTGGCATTTGAAACACAGTGTCACTTGTGTCACTGGGTGGGAAGGCCTAGCGGGAGGTTTAGTGTGCTGTCGCTGTGTAACATGTGTCCGGAAAAACTGGAATGGAGCAATAACCCCAGACAGTGTGCTGTCGCTGTGTAACACGCGTCCCTAGGAACAACTGGAATGGAGCAATAACCCCAGAGTCTTCCTTGATGATGCTAAATGTCTTTGCAGCAGGGTGGGAGCTTTTCCCAAAGAGCTCTGCTCTGTTCCCTGCATACCCGCCCAGAGGCAGGATGCTGCATGCAGGTAGGACAGATTCTCCCTGGGGGACTGCACGCTTGGCCTCTCTTTAAGGAAGGCTCCAGACCCATTTCCTGTCACAGATATCAAACGCAGGTGTCTGTCAGCACGTTTGTTACACGGGAGAGAGGTGGGAAGTAGAGGGCTCTACGTTGCTACTGTGGAGGGACCATATTAGCCAATAGATGCTGGGAAAGTGAAAAATGTCACTGCAGTGTTCCTGTAACTTTTCCACTAAAATTCAGCGTACATTTGTTGCTAGTATTAGAATCACAGACTGGTTTAGGTTGGAAGGGACCTTAAAGATCATCTAGTCCCACCCCCCCTGCCAGGGGCAGGGACACCCTCCACTAGACCAGGTTGCTCCATGCCTCATCCAGCCTGGCCTTGAACACTTCCAGGGATGGGGCATCCACAGCTTCTCTGGGCAACCTGTCCCAGTGCCTCACCACCCTCTCTGGGAAGAACTTCTTCCTGATATCCAATCTAAACCTCCCCACTTCCAATTTAACCCCGTTACCCCTTGTCCTGTCACTACAGGCCCTTGTAAAAAGTCCCCCCCAGCTTCCTTGTAGCCCCTTCAGGCACTGGAAGGGGCTATAAGGTCTCCCCGGAACCTTCTCTTCTCCAGGCTGAACAAGCCCAACTCTCTCAGCCTGTCCCCATAGCAGAGGGGCTCCAGCCCTCGGAGCATCTTCGTGGCCTCCTCTGGACTCGCTCCAACCAGTCTATATCCTTCTGATGTTGAGGGCTCCACAGCTGGACGCAGCACTCCAGGTGGGGTCTCACAAGAGCAGAGCAGAGGGGGAGAATGAGGACGAATTCCTGTTCAAAGGAAAGGACATATTAAGGGCTTGACAGAAGAACAGTTTTACAACTTTTTCTGGTTGGGTTGGGAATATTTGTAAACCCTGATTATTAAACAAATACATAAATGTGCAGCTGCTTTTGAGATGGGTCTGTGTAAGTGAACATGGCACAGTAGAACATAACTGTGCAAATTTCAAAAGTGCAGTCGTGCTTTGGGTCTTAAAAGCAAGAGTTGATGTACCTAAAAACTGATTCTAGTGTTCTGTGTTGCCAGTCTGTCTACAAGACAGCGTGTTAGCGTTCTGGAAACACGGCATGCAAGGAAGGAGCTTTAGATCAAATGAGGTGAGTACTGCAATTTGCTTCCGATTGGAGCTTCTAACGTAAGGCAAATCGAGTATAAACGCCTAATGCTGTGGTCTGGGGAAAAGTACAGCAGCTCAGTAACTTGTAGGTTAGACCTGGAATCTGGAGTCTCACTCTAAGCATGTCTCATTAGCCACACATTAGTAAAGCTATGCGAGACCCCGTCAAGTCTAACATATAAACCAGAAAGGAAGAAGAGAACGGGCCACGATGCCACAGGAGATATCCAAGCCTAATTCTTGGTAACATTAATCATCTTCACCTTAAATTGCTTTGACGACCAGTCTCAGTCTCTGAGCTCCTCACACGTGGATACCAAAATGTGGGATTTGCCAGTGGTTGCACACTCCTCTGCTGAGCCTTCGCTTTCTGTCACGGTGTTGAATGAGTAGCCTGTTGTTTTTTAGATACTTCTCTGTTCCCTTGGCTTACAAGTACTTTGAAGATTTTAGTGCCCAGCTTTCACAAGAAGTGTTTTTCATTCTCAGGAAAAAATGTCAGATTGGCCTAAAGATTTTTTCTAAAATTCCAGTGTAGTCCCTTTTTTCAGACAGTTTGATATGATTTTTTGACAAGGTTAAACCCTACGTACCTTCCCAACTCCTTTTTTCCTGATGCAAACCTTGTGCATCTACGTGTTAGTTGAAATGCTGTGCTTTGTAGGATTTTCATGAGTATTTTAATTTGGTTGTTAAAGAACATTTGCAAACTTCACCACTTGCTTCTTCACTCTCACCTTGCCCGAGAAATTGAGCTCATTATGACTGATTGTATTTTAAGGTTACTCCATGCCTAACTTAGGTATTCCATATTGGTGCACAACTGCGTTTATTTGCACAAAGCCGCAGCTAACCTAAGCTGTTCTGACAGCGAGCCCGCTCTTTGTGGGAACAGGGACCGGAGACTGCTGTCAGACTGCTGCTCGTCTCCGAGCCTGCAGACTGTTCTTGTGGCATTTCTGCCTGTTCGATCCCCAGGCGTAACTGTCCTTCTCTTGAGCTCCTGGTGGTGAACACCGTCGGCCCTGAGGAGGAGGTGATGCCGATGGGCACTTCTCCAACTCCAGGCTCCTGCTGGCAGCGTTTTGCAACACTTTTAGTGAATTACTCCACCCATTGGCGCTCCGTAGCTCTGATCCGGTTGTTAGAGGACATGCCCCGGAGTGCTGCAGCCCAAGGGGATGCTGTATTTTGTGTAAGTGAGGTATAACGAGGAACGCTGTCATCTTGCTTGGTTATTGTCAAGGCAAAGCCAGCACCTAAATGAAGAACACAAGGTAGAGCTGAGCTGTTGGCAGAAGGCAAGCCATCCACAACTTTCTCTCTGTAGAACATGTCTAGGGTAAGCTCTCGGGCCTTTTTTAAATTCCTTCTCTCTCCTGATTGTCCTCCTAGCCACAGCTATTAAAAATAAACCAAACAAAAAAACCCCCAACACTAACCAACCAACCCAACCAACCCAAAAAACCCCCACCCAACAAAACTTCACCCTCATTTCATCTGTAAAATGAAAAGCCTTCATTACCAGGCTCAGATCTTGACTGTATGTGTTACTTTTGGGGAATTTTATACCATGTATTATGTGGGAAACATCTACATGGGACAAAAATCTGACCAACCTAATTTTGCAGCTTGTTTGTCTTTGAAGACATTGTTAGTTCAGATTCCCTGATCTAATACCCCGTGGTGTAATTGGGGGTGATCTGAGCAGCGTGCAGTGTTACTTCCTTCCACAACCGTGACCTTCCACAGTGGTTTGATTGAGTGGCAAGAAGGAAACACGGAACTTTGTAAATTCTGAGGTGAGATGCTCAAAATATGGACCAAGGTTGTGCAGGCATCCCCACAACAAGCAGGAAGTAGTTTTCTTAAAGTGGGGAACTTCATTGTTGTGAATTAACATTCTCTTGCAAGTTCCCTGTTCCAGAAGTGAATTCAGTAGCTAATGCTACTAGGATGTGGGAAGGAAAGAAGAATCTCTTCTTTCCTCAAGAATGTGGCTGCGTGGGAGCTTTGGAAACAGGGCTGCCCGTTCTTGGTGTGACTTGGTATCATTTGTGATATCCTTTGGAGTGTGCAACAGGCTTCCGTTGGCTTTACTGATTAACATGTTTTGTTCGGTGCTTTGGTATCCGTGTGATCATAAAGATGTGGCACACAAGTACAATTCACCCACAGTAAATAAAGCTCTATTGCACTAGTCTGAAATGTCAAAATACTAAGTTTTCACAACGGGCATAACTACCACGAGTTAAGATGATGTTCCTCTGTTAAGGCTTTCAGACTATGAATTGTTACTATGATTCTGAATTTCAGCAAAATGCATTTTATGCGTGACCTACCTGACCCATTTTGGATATCTGCTCTAGAGTGAGACAGTGTGTACCCTGCAGCTACCTATTTCAGTTATAGGTGTAAGGAGAGTTGCACCAGCAGGAAAAAGAAATAAGGAAGCTCATAAAATTGAGATAAGAACTATTTACTAATTAAATCTCAATTAATATATACAAGTACTACTAAAAATAAATAATTAAAGAATAGAAAATAAGACATATGATACAATATGATACAATTATGATACAGTTGCTCACCACCCCATAACCAATGCACAACCAGGTGCAGAGAAGCGAGAGTCAGACCCAGAGAGCCCGAGGGCTGGAGCCTGAGAGCTGTTGCAGCAGATTCCGAGCAAACCCTCGCAGCGATAGCACGACCGGGAAAACTAAACACACCCACCAGCTCACTCATGAAGGAGCCAGCACAGGAGTTAGCAAAGCAGACAATGCAGGAGTCAGGGAGAGTGTCAGCAAGTGTACAGGAGTGAACGAGCAAGGGAGGAAGGGAGAGAGTGATGGCTCCCAGACCCCCTCCTCACCTCTGCCCCGCGCATGACGTACTCTGGAATGAAACACTCCCTTGGTCAGTTGGGGTCAGGTGCCTGAACTGTGTGTCCCTGCACTGCCTGTAGCGAGACAGCGAGAGCTGGGAATGCAGCTGCAGGGTCAGAGGGGGAGAAGGCCCTTGAATCTGGTGCAGGCATTGCCCAGCGCCAGCTGAGACCTGATCAGTGCTGCTCTCTGCAGCCAGGAACAGCTTCCTAGCAGCCATGGTAAAGAGAGTTAACTCTTCCCTGACTGAACCCAGCACAGGGAGGAATTACAGAAAACTGTTAGATCTCATTTAAAAATAACAGTTGCATTGAAGTCTGTAGCATATCGAAGTGAGTAGTACATTTGTAACATCAGTCATAGTTCTTTTCTGTGGGTTGTTTTTAAAACCAAAATAAAAATACTTGTGCGCTTAACGTGTAAACACTTGTTTTTATTTTCTAGATCACACAAGAAATTTCTGATAATACGAGGATATTCAGGCTTCTGGGATCTGACAGGTATGAAGAGAAGCGAACACATCATGCCAAAATAGAAGAGTACATGCGTTCTTCTACCTTGTACTAGTTGTGTTGCTTGTTTCTCATGACTGCTTTTTTAGCCATCTTACTGGTGCCTTTGTGTACATGTTTACCTTTCAGCCCTTCAAGTTTACTTCTCTTTCGTAAAAAGAAAAAAGTTCTTCTGGAAGTGTCTGTAGGCTTCCAGAAGTACTCAGCTGTGCTAGCAAGCTCCTACTGGGCTGCAGTCATGTTCTCCAGTCCTCCTTTTTATGCTGTAATTCTTTAACTTGGTGAAATCTTTAATTTCAGATGCTCTGCTGCAGTAGCTCCTCAAGGTGTATGTCTTGAGACATGCAAAAAATACTTCAGAATTTAAATATCTCACTTTGAACCCCAGAAAGGAGCTCTGCCAGTTGTCCTCCCAACATGACAGCTCAGCTCTTGCAGGGGCTCTTGGGAATTCCCAGCTTAGCTGTGCGTCGGCACCTGCTTTGCAGGACGCTAACACGGTGTCTGCCTGACCCGTCAGGTACCAGCTTGCCAAATCCGTAACTGCTGGTTTAGGGGTGCCTCTGATTCTCAGCTTTCTCTACCCTGCTGTCAAACTTCGTACTCTTGCAGCAGCCCCAAACGCAGAAGTTTTGTCTTCCGGGAGCGCACGCTGGTGTGCCTGTTTCACCAGTAATGTCTCCGTATGAAAGGCGAAGACAGGCTTTCGTTTTTCTGCGGGGAATTGCCTCCCTCTTCTGCCACTTGCAGTGAAGTCACTCTCTTGTGGCAGCTTAGGGCTACCAAGAAAGCCTCACATCAGCTGAAGGCGTTCCCTGCGTTCTGCTTCGCCGAGCTTGGGGCACAGCCCTGTGATTTAGCATCAAAAGCAGCGAATGGTGCGGTGGCTTCAGGGGATGGCGAGCAGTGATTTTTGCTGGGTGGGGGTTGAGGATTCTGCCCTATGGTGCAGTAATTGATAGCTTTTGGGTAGTGGGTGGTTGTAAGGAATACTCATCTCTGAGCTAAGGGTTTTACCTCTCCATCCCAGTGAGGTGTGCGTGGCACTTAGCTTGATTATGTCATTTCTCTCAGTTGTTGAGAGACAGCACAGCTCAAATTAAACATGGGACTGACCTCACAAAGGAGTGTGACGTTGCACATCACTGCCGTGGAACAATAATGTCGTCTTCCCCACGTGTGGGTCCGTCTGTTTCCAGCCTGCACTAGTAGTAGTGGTAGTAGTAGTAGTAGTAGACAATGTTTATAGACTTGACACTGCAGTAGATATTGATCCCAGGTTCTCCAGATAGCATTTTGCTTGTAGCTCTGTCAGGATTTGTGCTTAAGCTGTGAAACCTTTTTCCGTACGTAATCCCTGTCATTTCCTAGGCAGTTCGTAGGAACTGGGGTTCTGAGAAGCCAAAAAACGAACTAGTCTGATAAGAGCTTGTGTGTTGCCTTTTCCTGGTGAGCAGGAGCACGGCAGGAGGCTCCCGTTGTGGAGCATGCGGGGCGGATGGTGGGTTTTCTGAGCGATGGTTTAAAGGCAAGCACCCTCTCCCTGCCTGAGCACGCGGGGGTGGGTTTGAGTTCCCCGCGACCTGCCTTCGCTCCACCTTGTGCGCAGAGGTGAATTCGGTCATTAACATCCTGGTCCGTTTAGCAGTTCTCGCCTGGTTGAAAAGGTCTCAAACCGTTTGTGCAGGGGAGCTGGGACCGCTGATTTCTCGCTGAAGAGAAGGGTCCGATCCAGGATGTAGCTAACCCAGTCTCCTGTCACCGATGCTGGCTGGAAGTGGGGGGCAGGAAAGGGGTCAGCGAGGAGATTGCGCACGTAGCAATCCTTTCCTTGGGGACTCTCTCAGCCCGCAAGTCTCTGCGACTCTCGGAGGTGGAGGAGGTTTCTGTGGATTCAGGTTACAGGGGGCTCAGGGAAAGACTAGCAACGCTCACAGAGAGTCAGCTTTGGTCACCTGTCACGTGCAGTGACGAAGGACAAGACTCGCAGCTTCCAGAACGGGAGCCTGATTAACGGGTTGGCTTTGGAAAGCACTTGGGAAGCACAAGCCCAGGCAGGGGAGGGGTCAGTGATGGACCTCCGTCAGAAGCCCCTTCGGAAAGGTCGAGAGGCAACAGGCCCATGTTGTGGAAAGGGAAATTCCGTCTGGATGAAGGAGGGGAAGACAATCACGGTGAGGGTGGCTGAACACTGCAGGAGGAGTCCAGAGGGGCCGTGAGGGGTCCTTGAGGACCTTGCCTGGGCAGGACCCCGAGGTAGCTTTGGGGTTGGCCTTGCTTTGAGGGGCCTTTGGCCTAGAGGCCTCCAGCGAAAGAGAAATGCCCCCAGCCCGATGGATCCTGGGGCAGACCGTACAGCGTATCAAGGGGTGTTTTTAAGCGAAGGCTTACTTGACGCTGCGGCTTTTCTGGTTTCATTTTAGGGTTGTGGTGCTGGAGAGCAGGCCGACGGAGAACCCGACAGCCAACAGCAACTTGTATATCCTGGCAGGGCACGAGAACAGTTACTGAGAACGGCACGTGGCGGGCAGCTCGGCGTGACGAGGAGACTCCTGCTGCGGCAGCATTCGTGACTGGCTGAACTTGCACAACAGCTGCAGCAACCCCGCTCTGTAATTTATAAAGTTACTTTATAATTTATTGTGGCACGAGAGGAAGACGAGGGTTGTTCGGAGCACGGACACGTAAGCGTTACGACACCACGGAAGTGCTTCGTTTACTGTTATGTAATCTTTGTACATAGGCGCTGTTTTTCGGTCAAGCTTCTTGCTGAAGACCCACACTGACTTTCTGTAGATAGCAGCCCTCCTGTCAAGTACGAGTGTCCCACCTGTACAGACCTAAAAGTCACCGAGGATGCAAAAATTTAAATCGGGGTACTATTTTAAGGACTTCTCAAGGGTGTATTATCAAGTGGGATGCTAGCAACAAATACTACATTTAACAGTACCATTGTATTTTATTATCTGTAATTTACTAATACAAACAAATCTTAACTTTGAGATATTTTAACCGAGGCTGTAAATGGATTACGATCTGGTTTTAATTTTGATGCAACACACTGGTGTTCATGTTTGCACAACGTATTGAGATGTGATGTATTTAGTCACAAAGGTAAGCTGTGACTCTGTGGGTATGACTTGGACTTCGAAGTTCCTTTTAGTTTACTCGGGTAGTTTTCTTTGTGAAACAAACCAGTTAAACACCTGTATTTTTATATTTAATTAAAACTCCTTCCAATTACTTCTGTATGCTTGGAAACAACGCTTTCTGGATGGGTGACTCTTGGTACCTGGCTGTAACACTGCAGTAGGTGTTTGAATTATTAATGTATGCAGCGATAAAAAATGGTATTACTGTTCATCTTCCTCAATAGCTTCATATCACGATGAAAAGAAGCAACATTCCACATTGTGGAAATGGCTCATAGATGTTGCCATTTTGACTTTTTTTTTTTGGCCTTATAATCGTTTTTACGCTTCTCTTGATTTAGGATGTTAACACACGGCCAAAATAATTTACTTACTACCTCATTCAAACAATACAACGATTACTACACATCGCAGGAACGTAGTGTTGATGGGGGGAGTATTTTTGATTGCTGTTTTCCAATGGAGTATGTAAATGCCAAGTTCTAGCAAAATGCACACGTTTGACTCCTTTTTTTTTTTTGTATATGTTCTTTATATTTTATTGTGATAATATACACTAAACCAAACTAAATTTAAAGTGATCGATGGCCTGCATTATTGTTGTGATTGGCAGTGCTTTGAAATATGTTCCCTAATGTATATATTGTAAAATAAACCTTTTTGACATGTTGTTGTACAATTAGATTTGCTCTCTGCACTCATTTTCCACCTGAGACTGGAGTGGAACCTAACCCAGTTTTAAATTCTGCTGTTACACGTGCCAGACACACCGGGCTTTTCTGAAGGTGCGAGCGGTCGGACCGCTGGAGCTCAGCTCGGCTTAGGCTGGCACTTGAGGGTAGGCAGGAATACCTTTTTGGCCTTTAGGCCAGGGATATGTGCCGTTAGGATTCCGTTTATCCGTCACCTGCTTTCCCACCTCTGCTGACGGCAAGGCTCTTTGTTTTTCCTTTCAGCAGGCCTTGTTTTCCGCCTGTGGGATGTGGGCTTGCTGCCTCTGCTGGCCCCACCTCTGCTCCCTTGCCCTGAAGCTCAGCCCCACCGCCGAGAAGCTGGATTCTCCCAAAAGCCGAGAACTCGTGCATGTTTCGCAGCGGGCGTGTGCTGCCACCCAAGGGGAATTTCCGTTTGCCTCCCGTGGGCTGTTCCTCACGCCGACGCGCCGAAGCGCCGAAAGCACCTACGTGTTAACCAGGTACAGCCCAGCTCCTGCGCTGGATCATGCTTCCTCCCGCGGGCTGTCTGCAGCAGCTGTGGCCACGTGTCCTTCTGTTTGGGGCTGTTGGGCCAGTGCTGGATGTTGGGATATTGGGTTTTTATTCCGGTTGAGCATTTTTGGTAGAAGGAGGTGTGCTGGAATAGCTCAAACTGAAGAGGACAGGGTCACGGCACGTGGGAAGAAGGGGGAGTGTTGTACTAGGGTAGGCTTGTCTCACATCTGTTGGTGTAGGCGGGACGGTTTTGCTCTCCGCATGCTGCTCTCCAGCCGGAAAGCAAAGGGTTCCTGCTTTGTCCTGTTGCAGGATTTGGAGTCTGTGCCACAGAATTGCTTCTAAAAATCAGCTCCTCAGCTGGGAGCTGCCTTCAGCTGGGACCCCGGGAGCCTGGATGTCCAGGAGAGCAAAAGGGCTCCTTTGCTAGACCTGCAGTTGCCATGGACTGAAAGTTTCCCTGAGCCGCGCTTGGTGGGAGCTTCCCCCACACCCTCCTGATGTCGAATTGGGATCAGCCTGCGGCTGAGAGACGGGAGCACAGGCGGAGCCAGGAAACATTGGGAGCTGCCTTCAGCTGGGACCCCGGGAGCCTGGATGTCCAGGAGAGCAAAAGGGCTCCTTTGCTAGACCTGCAGTTGCCATGGACTGAAAGTTTCCCTGAGCCGCGCTTGGTGGGAGCTTCCCCCACACCCTCCTGATGTCGAATTGGGATCAGCCTGCGGCTGAGAGACGGGAGCACAGGCGGAGCCAGGAAACATGGCATGATGAGGTTAGAGCAAGGCTTCTGCCTGTGGCCAGTTGGCACAGCTTCTCTACGACCTGTGCAGCTTTTCTCCTTCTCCAAGCCGTTTCCAGTCCTGCTCTTCTCGCTGGTGGTGCTGGCGGCTGAGAGGCAGAAAAGTGTGATGTGATGTGGCTGCGCAGTGGGGCGTTCACCAACCTGGCTGCAGAGCTTGGTCAGCGCAGGGGCTGAGCTTGGGCCTCGGTCCAAACGGATCTTGTTGAAGGGAACAGTGAAACAAGGTTGCTTGGTGTCTGTTAGAGAAGTGCTGCTGGAAGCTGGGAGAACAGGGTAACCAGCGCTGCTTTTATCCTCTTCTCGCACGTTTCTCCGTGTGGTGCTGCCTGCCCCTGTCAGGAACGCGATCCAGTGACCTGAAAAAGAGGGTGGGTGAAGTTGTGTGTCCTGCTGCCCTCGGCTGAAGCCGAGAGCTGTGCGAGGCAAAGCACGCGGTGCTGGCTGCCCGGTCCTTTCAGCCTTGCTGCTGGGACCCTGTGCTGGGGGGAAGCCAGCAGTGCGGCGAGCAGTGATGGGGCTGGATGCGTCCCCCGAGCAGGGGGAGGTTCTTACACTTAGAAGGGTTTCAGCTTTATCCACCGCCCTCCTGGTTCTTGAAGGAATCTACATGAAAAGGTGGGGAAATAGAGCAGGGAATAGGCCAAAACCTTGCTTCCCTTCAAGGAAACACTCCAGGTTATTCTAAAACATGGGTTATAGGGAGTTAGGTTTCAGGCCTGTGCCATCTGTTGAGGGGTGCAGGAGCCGGGGGGACGTGTCTGGGGAGGGGGACATGAACCCTGGTGGCCTCTCAGGTCCTCATTATAGACAGTAATGCTGGGTTTGCTGTCTGCTCGGCATCAACCTCTGCAATACAGCTGCATTACCATTGCTAGAGGTATTCTTCCCTCCTTGGGTGCAGATTTTCCCTTTGGAGCTAATTTAAATCCAACACGTTCAAATTCAGGCCCCCCCGTTGGGTTGCTCTGAGAGGCAGCTACGTCAGCCGGT